CAAAACTTGTACAGCCGCGATTTTATCATAAGTGGGTTCGCAAAGTGCAGGTCGGTAGGCGACCTCATGGAGGAATACGAAGAGGTGGATCGGCTGCCACGCGAGTTACTCGCCGCCTATGTGTCAAGGATTTAAAGCTGAGATTGAAGCGAGCCGAGTTGCCAGCCCGACGTGGACAATTTCGAGCTAGCAAGCTGCTGAGAAGTGCTTGCCTTCCTCCAGAGGTCATGCGCAACCTGCTACTGGCAGCCGGCAGTGAGTACGATTTCGACCGGATCGTCCAGGCGATGAACGTGCAGTGGCTTTCGACAGCTCCGAACTGGGTGGCACCAGCTCGGCGAACGGCGCGAAAACGTCTGGGCGAGCCTGCTCCGCGGGAGCGCCGACGTGAGCAAGATGCCAAGGGCGCAGGTAAAGAACGCCAACCTCGGCCACCTCCGAAGGCACCTCACGTCGGAGAAGCTGACGTAGACGACGCCGATGAGGATGAGCCTGAGGACGATAACGAAATCGACCCGGCAGACGTGCATGAGGCAGAGATCGTAGCCGAGGTCGCCGATGCCTTCACCGCCACGAGCGACAAGTTGAAGAAGATGACTTTGGGCATGGGCTGAAGAGTCGGACGCCGCCGAAGCTGGGCGACAGACGCCCGCCGAATCGGCCCGCCACTGCGAGTGGCCCGGCATCCTCGACAGCTTGGAGGCCGCCCACTACTTCGGCACCAAGTGCGCTGCCGACGACCCCGCAGATAGGAAAGGCATCACCGCCAGCTGGGACATCATTCTCAGGCAGTATACGAGGTGCCGTCGCGGGATCTGGCCCAAGTGATTCCCGCTCTGCAGCGCCCGCATCAAAGCCAGGGTTTCGCTCGACACCCAATCGGCCGATCTACAAGAATCGGCGGGGCAGGTCTCGCGCCGCGCACGAAGCCGACGTTGTGGGCGAGGAACCCGGCCCCGGACATGAGGATGCGTTCGCTGCAAACATCGTAGAGCACGAGGCCTTGGTGACGCACCTCTCGCGCGACGAGTTGCAGCAGAGGGTGGCCGCCTTCGAGGGCAGGGTGGGCGGTGGGCCACAGGGCCCTCTTGTGCGTTTTGCAGATGCGCCTGAAGAGCAACACTTTTCGGCCGACCCTCGCGAGCCGCGAGCGGCGAGGTCGGAGACGCCCGATACCCGAGTGCCGCGAGCTTCGAGAACATATTCAAACACGTGCACTCGATTGATGTTTCGCACCTCTCTGGGCGCGCGTTTCATGGGGGACTCCGGGGGATTCTGCATCGTCGTTGACACGGGTGGCCAGCGCAACGTCGTGGGATGCGAGTGTCTCGGGAAGTTCTGGGGCGTATTGCGGGTTTAGGTTTCAGTTTTTTTGGAACAGCTGAACAAGGGGGGGTTCGGTTCGGGGCCAGCAAGGCCGCGAGCAAGTCTGCGGTCTATTTCCCGCTATGTCTGGAACACGTGGCGCCGCTGGTACGCCCGAACTCAGTGCTTGACGTGGGCCCGAAGCTGCCAGTCTTGGGATTCCTGCCTCCGCGGGAGCTCTCGGGCCTCCAGCTGGGCGCCTTTGGAGAGAGGGCCCGCTTCCCAAATATTAGCAACTTGTGCGACGTGCCCCTGAGGACTGCTCCGAATGGACACCTGCTTCTGAGGATCGGCTCCTGGTCGAAGGACGCAAGGTCCCCTCGGGGCCCGAGGCCTGGCACTTCGCCCCCTCGGACGTCATCCCCCCGGAGGCCCGGTGGGCCCCCGCTGGGCCTGTGTCGGTCTCCAGAGACAGCTCTGCTCCGAGTTGATGCTCGGCCTATGCAGTTTTCGCGTTCCACGCTGTGCGCGCTTACGCATGCAACCCGCGGACTGCCCCAGTTGCCCGAGGAGCCGCCCTCCGGGGCCGAGAGCGTCAACAGGGCCCTCGACAAATTGCCGATCGAGGTCCCGCGCCCCAGCGAGACCTTCGACAGCGCGGCGATCGCCAGCATCTCGGGGCACGACGAGGCCAGAGGAACGTGTCGCCGAGAAGAAGATACCGTTGACGAAAAGCAGTCTAGCGGCGAGGCCATGGAAGCTGTTCATGGGGGTGATCTTGAATCATCTGTCACGCACCATCGGGCGCAGTCGCGGTCGGGTGCGCCAGAACCTCTCGATGTCCAACCGTGTGTTGGGACAGATTGCTCATCTGGGCCTTTCCACGGGCTACCTGACTCCGATGGCAGAAGCAGTGGAGGATGTCAACGGGGGCCTCCTAGGCGCCGGACAGCCCGCCAGCTCCTCCGCCCGCGACGGAAAACAGGGGGCATAACTACGCCAAGCTGCGCAAGATCCGGGTGCATGCTGGCACTCAGACACCAGGCGGTACGGCGCCAAGGGGTACTGGCTCCCGTGCCAAGCGTGCGGCCGTCGCTGGAAGTCAGTCAACGAGAAGTGGGTAGTGGGCGACCGCGAAGATCCGCTTCGCGCGCCTACTTCGACATAGTCACAGGATTCCCTCTCGCGCTCTCAG